TAATTTTTATTTTTTTTTCTCTTAATTTTTTTAAAATAAAATAGACAAACACTAATCCCTATTAATAATTAAGATTGTGAGAATAACAGCATGCGTTACTAGCCTGTCACTATTTCACTTTGAATATAAATTTTTGGGAAAATATATTTTTTAAAAACATATTAAAATTTAAAAAAATAAATAAATTAAATTAAAGTAAGATCACGTCATATGGAATTCAAAATTCAAAACAAGTAAAAAGTCGGTTTAATACCCAATTTGATTTCTGAACTTTCTTTTTTAAACTTAGTTCGTCATTTACCTTCAGAAAGTACCCAAATCATCCTTAAACTTTATTTTTCCAGGACCCAGATGGTCCTTTCGTCACGGAACTGCACACATGGCAAGTTAAGTCTCCTCCAATTACCTTTTTTAATTTTTACAAGCTTATGTGTACAATACACCTCACCCAATTGATGACATGGCAACAGTGTCTCTCTCTTTGTCAATGCAGAACAGCCCCCCTACTAGATTCACTCTCACTTCTAGGTTTCTTCCAACTGGGGAGATTCTATCGGGTAATTCTCAAGGACATCAACCTGAAGCTGGTAGAAATCGAGAGGGAGTGGTGAGGAAGAGAAGTACCCAATCATGGTCATCTTCAGCAAGGGCTTCAGAGGGATAAAAGAGAGCAAGACGGAGTCATCAGAGAGCTTGTTTTCAATTTTGGGGTAGAGAAGCTTCTGTCGCTTAGGCAAAACATTAGTGAGTTTGCAGATTCTGCACTTCAACTTGGCCACTGAGTTGTCGCCGCAAACTCGTAAGGTATACTTTTTGCGGCTCCATTTTATTGTCAGCGTTAGCCCCTCCTCGATCGTCGACGAAGAGGCAGCCATAGAGTATATGTGTTTGTGAAAATTTTATGAGAAACAATCTGTTCTCTTCTAATCGGACGAGCGCTGCACATGAATCTATCTCCTGACATGACCGCAACCCCTACGAAAACAAACAGGAAAAAGAAAAAGGCACTATCTGAAAGACTCAAAAAACCATCTACCTCTGAAGATTATCGGTGACTTGCCGTTTGAAACTAGCGGGAGGGTTGACCTGCCACTCTACCAACTCCTTCTAAAGGCAATTGCAAGCAACCTTACTCAGCACCTAAAAGCATCAGAATTCCATAATTTCAACACAGAATACACCAAAAAAAAAAAAAAACCCAAAAAAAATCAAAGAAATAAAGAAATCTAGAGATATTGCATCTCATGCATATGTAACACAAGATGGGAAGAAAAGGAGAGAATTGGAAGTGAACCTTGTGAGTGGCGGCAGAGGAGGAGCTGGTCATGCTTTTGCCGTCAATTCTTCTAGCGAAATCAATTGAGAGAAAAGAGGAGCAGAGTTTTTTGATTTTTGTAGGCTTGGAAGAAACATCTCACTGTTTTATTGTTTTATTTTATTTAGAAAGCTGGAGATTGTCATGTCATCAATGTATTTTCCATGTAAGCTTATTAAAATTAAAAAAAAAAGTAATTGAAGGAGACTTAATGTGCCACATGTGCAGTTCCGTGACGAAAGGACCGTTTGGGTTCTAGAAAAATAAAGTTTAAGGACGATTTGGGTACTTTCTGAAGTTAAAGGACGAACTAAGTTCCAAAAAGAAAGTTTAGGGACCAAATTGGGTATTAAACCTAAAAAGTTAAAGATTACCTAATTTAAGGGTTAATGCCAACTATCGTCCCTCTACTATCAAAAATAGTGCACTCTAAACCTTCTACTATGGATTGGCTCCATGTCATCCGTCTACTATTAATTAACTCCACTTGTCGTCCCTCTACAATGCAGAAACATAACAATGTCGTCCTTCCATCCACTGTAACTAACGGTGCTGTTTATTGACAGTTAAATGCAACAGTCACACCGGTTTTTTTTTTTGTCACCCTTCGTTATGGGTCCCACCGTTGTCACATCATCTCACACAATTTTTTTGCCTTAGCCTTGTCTTCATGTTGCCTCCCCAACCCCAACGTGGACCCTGCAAAAGGGAACTATGGAATTTACAATTGATAATTTTAAAATAATAAAATATGAAATTCCCATAATTTGAGAAGACCATAGATAAATAAAGATGATAATTCTGTTATTAATTTATTTAAAAATACAAACTTTTTAGAATTTTAAATTAAATAGTAAATTTTTTTTTTAATGATAATGTGAAATTTTACAATCTTTTGTACTTTTTTGAAGATTTATTAGAGAATGATGATAATGTAACAAATGACAATCTTAATCAAAATATAATAATATTTATGTATTTAAATTAAAAAAGTGAAAATTTAATATTATATACTTCAAGAATCAAAGAAATCTTAAGTAATTTAATGAGATACTGAAATATATAGTTTACTAGCATGTTCAACAAGGGTTAGTTTTTTTTTTTCTTTAATTTAAAAATTCAAAAAATTTTAAAAGTGAAAATTTACTATTTAATTTAAAATTTCAAAAAATTTATATATTTGAATAAAAAATAATAGAGTCATATTTTTATCTAAACCTTTTTTAATCAATTGAAAATTTACGAAAACTAACGTGTTGAAGATACAAAGAATTTCATTCAAGATCAACAAAATACAAAAAGAGCAGGAACTATGGCAAAGAAATTTTATTCTGTTTGATCTTGAATGAAATTCTTTGCATTTTCGTGAATTCTCAATTGATTAGAAAATGTTTAGATAAAAATATTACTTTATCAAATTTTTTTATTCAAAGATATAAATTTTTTGAAAATTTAAATTAAATAGTAAATTTTCACTTTTTAAATTTTTTGAATTTTTAAATTTAGAAAAAAAAAT